CAAGAAAGGGAAGGGGCAAGGAAGGGAAAAGACGGAAGGGCATATGGACAAACTCTGAGCAGGACCAGAGAAAAGTTCTGACCCTGAGCCAAGCAATGGTGGCACATGCCAGTAAAGCCAGCACTCGAGAGGCAAAGGCAGTCAGATCACTGTGACTTTGAGCAGAAGGAGTTCCAGGACAGCCAAGGCTACCCAAAGAAACCTCATCTTGAGAAAGAAAAAAATATTCTGACCATTCAGAAGTTTGTTAACCTCTCCCTAGTTGCAAAATGGGATAATAATAGCTAGTCATCGTCATCATCACCATGAAGTTGTTTTGAGTGAGATGGTATACAGGTTTTTGCTTACAGGTATGTCCGTGAGCCATGAGAGTGGACAGTGTCTGAAGAGGCCAGAAGAGGGCATCAGATCCGTTGGAACTGGAGTTACTACAGGTGGTTAGGGGACACTGTGTGGGTGCTGGGAGTTGAATTTGGTGTTATCCATACCTTGGTTTGTCAGTAGTTTCATATCTAGGGTGAGCAGACATTTATTCACAGCTCCCCGTGATTAGTGCCACAGAGAGCGCGCGCGTGCGCGCGTGCACACACACACACACACACACACACACACACACATGCACCTGCACAAGCACACATGACTATGAGCATGTCCAAGCATGCTCAGGCTGGGGGACCCTCTCAGGGATTGCCCAGGAGATGTCCACTTCATTTTGAAGCAGGGTCTCTCTGTGGTTTGGGGATTGCTTACTAGGCCAACTGGCCAGGTGGCCCAGAGGTCCTCCTGTCTCCACCTTCCTGGTGCTGGAATTACAAGTGTGCAAAAACATGGGATCTGGGGATTGAACTCCGGTCTTTGGGCTTGCACAACAAAGTATTGCTTTGGCATACTTTTTCTGGAACACAACACAACCCAGGTGGGAGATAAAATGGGAAGAATAAGTGCACTATGAGGGTTCTTCTGTAGGCTGAGAGCACTTGGGGACCATGGTGACAGAGGATGGGTAAGCCAGCATCTTTGTGGTTTGGGAACCTTGCTCCCTGGTGCCTATGAGAGTCTGTGATCATGGGGACTGACACTGGGGAAGAAATATGGAAGTAAACCAAAGAAATTACTCCCCAGGACACAGCTGAACTCTCTCTTCTCTGTGTACACATCTCCTTCTATACTGGTAGAGAGACAGCCTCCCCCAAATCAAAGGGCTCCTGTTCTGAAGAGAGATGGCTGGGACCCCAGAGAAGACACTGGCCTCACATCATCCTGCTCATTGTGAAGTGATGGCAGCAACTGTAATGGCAATGACTGCCAAGAGCGTTTGTTGAACGCAAACAGCCCCAGGAGCAGAGCTATGGTGTTTTTCCTACAGCAGAATCAGATTCCAGGAGAAAGCCCGTAAAATGTTAAACGTATTGTGCTCATCCTGGAATAGTGCTCAGATTTACTTTAATGGGAAATGGCATTTCTCATTTATTACCACCTGTGTATTGATCCACCTCAGTCATCTTATGCACACTGAAGAAGTATGGAGAGGTAATTTGAGGCCAGTGAGTGGGTCCTTAAGTGGGTTTATAGTCTAGCAAGTCTTTCTGGTGATTATAGCTGAATCCTGGCATGGAACACATACGGCTTTTCGTCTCTGGGATCAACCAGCCCAGCAGCAGCCCTTAGATGAAAAGTGTGGCCAGTGCATGTAGAAATGCATCGAGAAACTGCACACCTAGGTTTGCTTTACTTGCTAAGGGACATAAGAATGGGGTATAAATCACATCCTCTTCTCAATGTACAAGCTCTTCTGGTCCACACAATGACGGTGTCAGAAAGAATTTTCTATATTCGACTGATTCGGATGGGGAAGAATGGGAGCTTCGGACCGAAAGGCCTGAGTTTCTGGGAGGTTCTGGTACCTAACCAGGTAGTCCTGGGTTAACTTATTTGCCTCCATTTCTTATTTCTAAAATAGAGGCAATAAAACTGGTAACTACAAACAGGCTTGTTGTGGGGGCCGGGGGCTGAAAGAAACGGAGAGAACATCCCGTCTCAGCCTAAGTCAAGTAGCGTAGATCATAGAAGCTGTTACTGTTATTTATAGCCCCTGCTGAGCATTTGTCATTCCGTGTCCGCACAGAATATTACCCAGAGTACAAAACAGATGTTGACAGAATGAGGAAACGCTTGAAGTCTTTCTAGGAAGTGGAACCCAGCATCCCAGGCAGTTAAAAAAATTCTCTGGGCACAATCTGCCACCCACAAGAGTGTGCCCACAGGAAGGCTGAGCTTGCTGGGCCAGACCCATGAAGCAAAGAACTTAGCAATAACCTGGGTTTGTGTAAACTGGAGGAAATGGAATTGTGATGAGTAATTGTTGATTTAAAAAAAAAAAATTAACAGTGACCCAACCATCCATCCTCACATTTCCTGAAATCCTGGTAAGATCCGCCCTCACCTCCTACCCCTGTTCTTGCCAGTCTCCTTTCTAATCTGACAACTGGTTTCCTCACCTCCCTTTCAGTGGTCTTCTTCCCTAACCCTACTCAGGATTGATGAGTGTGGGGGTGTAGCTCAATTGGTAAAACACTTGCTTAGCAACTAGGAAGTGCTGGGTTCCTAGATCATCGCCCCTGCGTAAAATCTTACACAGAAGCGCAGGTGCGTTCTGGAGTTGCAGGCAGCAGGACCAGAAGTTCGAGGTCATTCTCAGCCACGTAGCCAGTGTGAGGACAACCTGTGCCAAATGAGACTCTGTATCAAAGCAAACAGGAGCTGGAGTGATGGCTCAGCTGTTAAGAGCACTGGCAGCTCTCGTGGAGGACCTGGGGTCAATTCTCAGCACCCACACGGTGGCTCACAACCATCTGTAACCCCAGGTTCAGAAGATTCAGTGCCCTTTTCTAGCTTCCAGGGGCTCTGTACAAATCTGGTGCACAGACATGCTTCGAGCCATAGCACCCACACACACAGAACAAAGCAAGCAAAACCAAACTGTGCCCTCACCGCAGCCGTTCATCCCACCCTTTTTTACTCTTTTTCTCCTGGCACCGACGCTCTCAGACACACCAAATACTTCCTTTACTTGCGGAGGACCTGGGGTCAACTGCTTGGTTTTCTGTTTCTCTACAGCTAAGAGGGTTGATTGTGTGTTTTCCTTGCTACCGTGTCCCGGGTGCTTAGGGCAAAGCCTGGCACCTGGCAGTATTTGCTGTCTGTGGGATGACTATCAGTGAATTCACATACGCAGTTCACAGGCTGGGTTGGCTGGACTCGACCCAGCCAACGGCTCTCTAGCACAGCCTTTGCTATCGGAGGAGGCTTTTCACGCAGTTCTTTCAACAGGAGAGTCAGGGTATCACTGGCTTGGTTCGCTAAGCCGGCATCATCAGGTTACCAATGTCATGGAACGTCAGAAGGGAGTGTAATGGATCTCTTGGTCGTCCTGTAAGCGGAAGACTGTTGATTTTGTTCTTGATTCAATGAAAATAATAGGTGGCTTAAATTTCTTAGTTCCTTCTTTGCCCCCAGGAAGTTTTACATTGCATCACTGACTTACATTATGTTTGAAAATGTTTTGAAAAGAGCTTTACCCTCCCCCCCCCCCAAAAAAAAAACATTTTACGTTATTGACGGGTCTACAGATTATCTTTTTTTCTTGCTTTTCTATATTTTCTTCAATAACCAGATATCACTTCAAAAAGAGAAAAATGCTTTTCTAGTAATCCATTATGTTTGCACAGCTCCTTGAAAGGCGGAGGAACCATTTTAAGGTTCCATCCTTATACTCTTATCTCTTGTCTGTTGGGGGTGGGTGGAGGAGGGGCAATCGCTTGGGCCACAGACAATCCCAGAGAAACTTGAGGGGGATTTGGGATTAGGCGACGTTCTCAGAATCTTTCTTACAAGGAGCCAACAGAACTGAATGGGTTTGACTCTGTAATCCAAGCTGCCTCTGTGGTATGCGAAACGCTCTCTTTGATACGCAAGGATGTAGCGTGGAGTTAAATGCTGTGCAGAACTGTTTCACACACACTGCCAAGGACTCTGCAGATGTCTGGAGCTGCTGTTTTGGACTAGTTAAGCTCTCAAGTTTTCTTAAGGGAAAATATTTGAACATTACAACGAGTGGTAAGGCTTTGAAACATCATCACCTTTCTCATACCCCCCCCCCCAGACCGGCAGTTCTCAATCTTTGAGGGTCAAGGGACCCTTTCACAGGGGTCACATAAGGCCATCAGAAAACGTAGATATTTACATTACAGTTCACAGCATTAGCAACAAAAATAATGTGATGGTGTGGTCGCGGTCACCACGAGATGAGGAACTGTACTGAAGGGTCATAGCCTCGGGAAGGGGGAGGATCACTGCCCTAGAGCAATAGGAACCTTTTAGCCTGACTTGCCTCATACTTACTCAGAAGCCCAAAGGGATGTGGAAGGGAAAGCGTGGTGTGTGTTAAAACCTGACTTGGCCAGGCTTCCTGCAGTCTTTAGGATACCATCTTCCTGTGAGAATTACGATACAACCAAACCCTCTACTTTAGATATGCCGGCAGGATTATTGTGGTTTTGTAAACTCCACAAACCAGAAACATGTCCTCTCGTAGAAAACCCACATCGCCTTCTGTGCAAAATGGGGCATTATGTTTCTGAAGATTCTGTACTGCTTTGTGTCATTAATTATTTTTATATTTCAAAAGATGTCAAAATCCTTAATGCCATTGTAATGTGGCTAGGAATATTTACGTAATTATATTGTGATCCACAGAGAAATCAGCTCCACAGTTCTTCAAAGGGTAGTCTGTTCTGCCCACAAGTACAGAAATTAGCAGTAGACTTATTTTTTTTAAAGTTTTTATGTCTTTCTACTTTTAGATGGATGTAAGTGTCTGATCTCCTCTACCTGGCTGTGTTGAGCTGAATAAAATCCAGCTGTAGAATGAGCTTTGGGTCCAGGCAGCCCTTGGCAAGCGGTCAAAGGTAGCTTTCTTTATATTGTCAACACGACAAAAATCCATGTACAAAATCTCTTTAATGATTAATCATGTAAGTACATTTATAGAGACGGAAGATAATCCCACATTTTCTTTATCAAGCAAACAAGCAAAACGCAGTACAGATAGCAGCAAAGCCTTGGTAACAAGCGCCAAGAGAGCACTGAGAAAGACAACACCGCCATCTGGAGGATCCTGGTGGAACTACAGAGCAGTAATCAAACAGGAATAAACTGTCAGGGGGCTCTGAACTCTTCCAAGCTTCCAATGGTGCCTGTAATCGCAGCTCCTTGGCCGAGAAAGACGGGAGAATCAGGAGTTCCAGGCCAGCCTGGGAAACACAATGAGATCCGCCTCAAACAAAACAAAACCTACAGGAAACACCCTACACTGGAAACACAAACAAAAAAAAAACAACCTTCTCCAGCAAATAAGAGCCAGGATTCTGAAATGAGAAACAGGAATCATCGAATGTATCCTGTCTTGAACTAAGTAGGGCCTTCTCTAAATCCACAAGGATTTTATTCTCAAGAAAGTGTTAGTGGCTGACAGTTTAATTTTATCAGAGGCATTTATCAGGATTAGAAGTCTTAACTAAGAGGCAACAACCAAAATTTCTAGTACAGAGAGCAAGATAGCCATCTCCCTTATACTATTTTTTTTCACTTTATGCTGATTTTGGGGAGAGGCAGACCCCGTTGTAAATCAAGAGGCATCCATACTCCTTTTTACAATTCTTGGTGGTTATCTTTAAGCTAAGCAGGTCTTTTCCATACTGATAGACTCATTTTAACGACACTGTTTGAAAAGGGAGTCTGAAGAATTAAAAACCACCCATTTTTTTTACATGCATTTACATTATTCCGATCAGAAACTTGCATTTTCAGGGGAGACCATAGCCCCCCACCTCAACACCTCCCAAATATCTACTATACACCCACCATTCCTTGGCCTGGGGGTTTAGTTCAATGGAGGAACTCTTGGTTAACATGTCGAAGGCCTTGGGTTCAAGTCTCAGCTCCACAGGAATCGCTTTCGTTCTTTTCATTTTTATTATTTTTCTTAAAACAATTTCCAAGTTGTTAGTTAGCAATATTTGCATACTTAAACTGAACACTGAATGCCACCGTCTTATTTTTTACACTTACAGTGTCATGGACCCGCCAGGAACAGAGCTCAGCTTGGTACAGGGCTTTGGGTGCACTGGAGAGCACTAGACCTCTGTCCACAAGGCTAGCCATGGCGATGCACACCTTTAACCCTGCCACTTGGGAGGCGGAGGCAGGCTGAGCTTGAGAGTTCAAGGCCAGCCTTGTCTACATAAGGATTTCTGGGCCAGCCTGGGTTATACAGGTTTTTTGAGACCTTGTCTCAGAAAAAGAAAAAGAAAGAGAGAGAGAGAGAAAGAAAGAAAGAAAAAGAAAGAAAGGAAGAAAGAAAGAAAGGAAAGAAAGAAAGAAAGAAAAGAGAAATCTCTGTTCACAAACACCACCACAGGTACAGTCAATGTCACCTTCCCTCCTCCTTCCTGCTCTCACTTTCCTTCCAACTTTTAAAAGATGACATTCTTTGAATCCATAACGACAAGAATTTCTAACACTTTCTGGTTTCCATTTTCAACAGACCCTCTAGTTGTAGCATTCACACACACACACACACACACACACACACACACACACACACACACACAAGACAGACATCCTTTGTTCAGTTGAAACCAGTTCAATTTTACTCACATTCCCTGCTTGGGTCACTCAGCAGGCATAGACATTCTTATCAGAAACCCACCTAAAAGACACATGCTTTTGTTGCTGTGGAGTCTGCAGGGAAATTTCAGTTAATCTCTCCCCAAATACAGATTAACAGTTGATTGACAAGTCATTTTCACGTCCTGCGGTTCTTCTTTTTTCTTGTCCCAATAACCCAGAACAGAAAATTCCACCTGTGCACATGTTAAATAAAGTGTTCAGACATTCCCCTGTATAAGGCACAAAACTCACAACTCTCTTAAAAAAAAAAAAAAAAAGGATAGAAAACGAAGGTTGAAAGACTGGCAAGTGACCCAACGGGAGTTGAATCAGATCACTTCCCTTTTTAGTACACGGGGACCTCATACTGATAGGAAACGAAGTGTGGGAATAGAGGGCATCCCAGCCCTTTTTTGACCACAGCCTCCTTCACTGGACTAGTGTGGAAGTCAGTCCTCAGGGAGAGCTGTGTGGCCAGAACATGTGAGCAGCAAGCACGAGCCATCTCACGGCAGCTGCTCATAGCAGCCTCACAAACAGTGCATTTGGCCATCAGGTGCCTCGTTCTTCCTCCAAGGACCTTCAGGGGCCAAAAGCAGTGAGCACGCATTTCCCCGTCCTAGGACCTGTTTTAAGGTATCTTCTGAAATCTGAGGCGAAACTGCCTGTTTGAGAACCCTGAATTGGGGTAGCTGTGTCAGTCCTTCATGGGACAGTATCCAGTGGAAATTTGAACCTTGGATTTTAGGGTCCTTTTTGAAATAATCAGATTCCTCGAGGAACTCTAGAGCCACGCTTCTATAAAGAGTCTGTTCAAGCCTTCAGATAATCTCCAGGTCTGCAAGACAACCCTAAATAGCTTGCAGTTAATACTGCGATCCACAGATATAAACTAAAAGGGCCCCATGGGTGACAAACAGGCCAGGGTATCCATGTTTGCTGACTGGGTCTCCCTACGGTAAGCGCTTGGCACTGTTGTATTTTATTATTATTTATGTTTCTGTGTTTCATGAGAATCATCTTCCCGAATGCTCTAATGGATCCAAGCATTTCCCGGAAGTGTAATAGTTTTAGAATTCTTTATATTGCCATGCACACTAGGGGTGGGAACAGGACATCAGGCAAATTAGTCAGCTAGTTGGTTGACCCAAGACGAGGGCCAGAGCTGCAGTGGATGAGACCAGAAATCAGGTAAATCAAATAGTCCATTTTGTCTAAGATTCAATGAATCTTCTTGAAGAGTTTGACTTTTCTTCGCTAGACAATCCGAAACCCTAATAGGAAGACAGAGTCCATGGGTCCGTTACCAATACAAGCAGCAAAGGGTGGCTGTTCTGTTAGGGTAGGGAACAGCCACAGTTTACTTGGCAGTCCAGTTTCAGGACTCAGCTTTGGAAGCCACAACCAGAATTCTTCTAAGTGCTCATGGGTAAGGGCAGTTCTCTTCAGTTTGGGACCTCCTGAATCTTAGCCAAGATCCCTTCTCACACAAGGCTATAACACAGACAAAAAAAATGCATGTGCCTTTTTAAAACCCTCAAATGCCTTGCATTTGAAATCCCATAGTCATGTCATGCTCTTGAACATAAATAATGGGGGAAGTGGGGAGGGGAGAAGGGAGGAAGAGGGAGATGGAGAGGGGTAGGGGAGAGAAAGAGAAAGAGATTCTATACCTGTGTGTCCATCTGTGTGTCTGTGTCACAGTGTGGGGAAGAATACGTTCTGCACTATAGCTCATCAGTGGCGTACAGGCTTTGTGCCCTGTGACCTGGACTTTGCAGGTCCTAGGTTTGCATGAGAACACTATATGATAAAATCACCTAACTTACTTCTCAGGCTGTAGCTCTGTCAGCCAACCCATCATCGTGTGTGATCATGAAAGGAGGGTGATGGCATCCCATTTTGTTCCTCACTCAGCAGCCTCGTGATTGGATCAGTTGGCCCTAACCTTCCCTGTGCTTCCTAATCTTTCTCTGCAGCATTTTATCCTTTTTTTCCTTATGAGTGCATTTTTCTCTCATGTTCAGGAAGCTTTAAATGACACAATTTCCTACCCCAATGGCACGTTCATGGATTAGGAGTTTAAGATCTCTGCCTTATATGGTGTTGCTAAGGGGATATCATATCGATACTCCAGTAAGGTTGAAGTTCACGGGCGTCTGAAATCCACCAACTGTGTGGTGGACAGTCTTGGGGTGGTGGAGATCACGGATTTTGGGTGCAATTCCGTCCTGCCTCTGAAAGAGACTTGTGGACTGCTCCCAAGCACCCTCGACAAGCTGGCATCTCTCAGGAAGGTTGGCGTGTACAGCTTTGGGACCATTGCTCAGTGGACCATCCTTCGTAAGAGAACTCTCTACACGCTGAGCTGCCCAGACAAGAATGAGATTTTCACAGTGGAAAATTCAGAAGGGGTGAAACCTTTTCGCCCAGATCCGTTCCTGGAAACTGCAGATGAGGAGCAGCCGGAGGTCTATCTGCTTGTCAAAAGCTGTTGGAAGGAGGAACCAGAAGAGGCCAGACTTCAAGAAAATCGAGAACACACCTGCCAAGATATTTGGTGTTTTTCATGCCTCCCCCCAATGAATCTTGCGTGGACACCTTGATCTGCTGTCTACAGCTGTGTTCTATAAACTGGGAACACCTGGTGGCAAAAAGGACCCAGTTGTACAAGGCAGAAAGGCGCAGGGCTGGGTGCCTTAAATTTATGCTGTTCCCAAGGCTGGTGGTAAAGTCCCTGAAAGGGAACGGCGTTGTGGAGCCAGAGCTGTAAAAAAGAAGTCATGATCTACTTCAGTGACATTGTCGGTTCCACAACCATCTGCAAGTACAGCACCCTCGTGGAGGTGGCAGACATGCTGAATGACAGCTACAGGAGTTTGGACCAGACTGTGGCTCGCCGTGATGTCTCCAAGGCAGAATGCATTGGTGATGGCTAAGAAGCGACAACCAACTCACAGCAGATGTTTCCAAGATGGCCTTCGGTATCCCCAGCTTCATAGGAACGAACGTTTGAGCTAGAGCGTCCCCCTGGCCTCCCAGTATGCATTCGTGCTGGAGTTCATTCTGGGCATGACGTAAATAACACATGTTCTGCAGTGTCGGCATTCATGACTGACAGCTTAGAGCTGCACCTGGGGACAGAATGGTGCAAACCCCCGTGCTTTGCTTGCACTTTTGACAACAAAGAAGGAAAAGGATATTCTGACGGAGTCCTACCTTGCCAGTGGTGCCCTTAAGCGGTTAATTTCAAATCTTGATCCATTACCAACTAATTTTGAAGAGGATACAGTCTGGCATCCAACGGGTTACCGAAACAGCATTAGTAAGTTCATGTCGAGAGCTCTTTTGTTTATCCATGCAGTAGCTATTTATTTACCTTGGAGTCCTTATCATAAGACAAGTATGATTTTGGGAAGAGAGCCACCCTGCACTCCAAAGCAGATGGGTATTCGGCAGCGGTGTGTAGTGTTTCTCCACTACATTAAAGTTTTCATCTTCAGGCGTCTGAAAGAACAAGGTGCTGAGAGCTGCAATCTCCCCGTCCATCCCTATAAAGCTTTGGAAGCTTCAGCTTCTGTTAATGCTGGTTGATGAACTTTGTGGATTGCTTCTGTAGATCGGACATCTAACTGAACTTCACAGTGTTATTCTAGGAGCATTGGTAAATAAGAACCAGATTGAGGTCTTCCCACTATTTATTACATCTCCACTTAGATACACACTGGCTCGTGCTGGGAATACTGCACATGCTGGGTGAAAAATCCAAGCAACTTGGTTATGGTCGTCAGCTGGCTAGGAGGGCGGCAGTTTAACCAATGTCAGCCTATTTGAAGAACACTGTGAAAATCTTCTCTGTGGCTCAGTAAGCCTGTTCACTCAACAGCTATGCCGAGGTTAGGCCTTCAGAAGCATCAGTGATTGATCACTGCCCATGCTCCTGTGTTAAAGAATTGTGGGTTCTACTTGTTCATCTTCCAGACCACAGAAGTGAATGGACTGTTGCAGGATCATTTTGGAATTGGTTGAATAAGCTACTTACAACACTTTGTGAAGAATCAAGTGATCAGAAAAGACCTTCTGTTTCTCTAACCAGGACCAAGGATCCGTTAGGCTTTAGTGGGTGGGTTAGTGTTCCCGTAGCCTCGCTGTACCAGACAGATCAGATGAAATGAGACAAGTGGAATCAAACTGGTGCTTTAGAGAAGAACTTTTGAAACAGTCCATCACTGTCTAGGAGAGTATACTAGAAGAACACTTACAGAGAGTGTGTCTTTATTGTTGTTTGACACTTTGTGATTTCTGGGAGCTAAACATTTCAATTGTTACTGTTCTGTAGGCGTATTGTAGTAAGAACCCGAATAGCTCCTTCAGTATTTCTTGGCTTCCGTTGGAAGGCCTTACTAATATCAATTCATCCTTGTCCATGCTTGCAATGGTGAAGTCCTGATGTTCTGATAAACAAGACCCTCACTTGTATAAATCCAGCAGCAGTTACATCATTTTTCTTTGCATTTTGGCAAGTGTCCTCAAGAAAGCAATGAAGAGCAGTGGCTCCTTGGAAACGAGTTAAAGGAAGACTGTCGTAAATTTCATCAAAAGAGGATGGAAGAAGTAACTGAAGTTGGCCTATGGAACTTTTTCAGCCTTTTTCTGCTCTTAGCAGATGCTGCAGAGACAGAAGATGTGCCAAGCTACTTCCTCGGGCCCCTCCATGTCATCTTCTGGAGCCCTTGTTTGGAAGGGTCCGATGGCATTCCTCCTGATGTATGCCCAGGATAACCTGGACGTTGGCGTTTGGGCTGAGGAACTGTCACGTGAGTTCCAAGAGAAAGCCAGGGAATTCTTGGTACCTAAGGATGATGAAATGGTACAGAGCATGCTCTTGGACACTGCCTTCCATCTGTATTGATGGTGTTCAAGACATATTTGAGAGCAGCTGGTGCTTATATCCTTCTCATGCGCATCTTCTCAGCGATGGGTTTAGCACGTTCCTGAGGGCCTGTGGAGACTCTGCACCTAGGAGAGCGCTGAGCTTTCTGCAGGCTGTTCGGCCCAGCCCGAATCAGGAATGTTCCTCAGCAATGTTGCCAGGAACTTCAAAGGGAGAATGTGGCCCTAATTGTGCAGTCTTCCTTGTCGGCTCAAGAGCGCCACATTGCGGCAGTCGCTAGTGCACTGTGGAGGCTTTTCTTCTCATTTCTTAGGAGAAGGAAATACGCTGTGCCCAACTGTCTCCCAACCTACAGGTGCCGCTGCGTTGTTCACTGCTGATTGTTTTCTCCTTTTGCAGACTTTTTTCAGTGTTTTCTTCTAAATTCTTGGTGACGATCTCTCGCTTTATAACAAATATTGTGACAAATGATGAATCCAATGGCGTGTATAAATTGGGTGTCTTTGGCTTATGTAGTTAATCATTAAAAATTAAATGGTTACTTATTAAAAAAGAAAATAAGTAATACTCTTTTTTTGAGATGGGGTATCATGTATCAAAGGCTAGCCTGGAACTCACTCTGCATCAGAGAATGACCTAGAACCTCTGATCCTCCTCTGCCTCTGCCTCTTTAAGGGCTGCTATCCTGGTGTGTGGGGCACTGGGATCAAACCCTGGGCTTCCTGCATGCTATACAAGCACATCTACCGATTGAGTTTCATCCTCAGCCTGTCAATACATATTAATTTAAAACTCAAACCTTAAAAGTAAAAAGTCAACTTCTATTATTGTGTCAAGATTTCCCCCGAGTCACGGTGGCCCGCCTCTACACCGTTCCTTGTTTGCAGACCTCAGGAATCTTTCTTCATCAGTCTGGCCTTGACTTTGTGCCTCAGGAGGGAGGCCGTGGCCGCGCTGCAGGCAGCCAGAAAGAAAAAGGAGAGGCAGGCGGTGTAGACAGACAGGGGACCATGGCGCTGGAGGAAGATCTCATGGCGCCCCTGGTAGTCCAGAAGAATGGCCTCCAGCTGGGAGAGCGTGCAGATGGAAAGGAAGGCGTGGAAGATCTGATGTCCATGGCCCACAATGTCACAGGAGCCGGGGAAGTACTTCTCGGGGACAGGGCAGGAGAAGAAGTAGGCGCTAACAAGGAAGAAGAGGATCTGGAGGGTGTGGTACCAGGCCGCCTGCTCCTGGCAACCGGCCAGGTGACAGAGGGCGACGCGGTGTGCCACGGGGCTGATGTCTAGGACGAAGGCCAGCCCTGCCGGTACCACTTGACAGATCTTCCGCATGAGCGGGTAAGGCCTCCGGTAGCGGTACTTGGCGTAGCAACAGCCCGCGCAGGAGAGCCAGCCACAGAAAGCAGCCGCCGGCAGGAAGAAAAGCCAGAAGCGCTCGTACCAGGCCTGGTCGGAGCTGTAGAAAAAGTGAGCCAGCGCGCTGCCGTACTGGTAGACGCTGACCCCGACGTAGTCCACGAAGTAGAAAGTGTAGTGGGACAGCTCTGACTTGGACTGCAGCAGGTGGGCCAAGAGGCTGCAGGTGAGGTAAGTGATGGAGGACAGAATGAAGAGGAGCAGGGGTAGGGTGTGCGGAGAGGCCCACTGCAATGCCCCTGCCTCCGCAAAGGCCCAGAACCGCAAAAGGACCGCCAGGGCCGCCAGCAAGTGGGTCCAGACGTTGACCACCTCGTTGTGCTTCTGAAAAAGGCTGAAGAAGTAGTAGCGCCACTCGTGCCCCGTGGGGCGGTAGCCTGCGTGGATATAAGGCTCCCTGAAGAGCTGCGGCACGTCGGTTTCCGGGACGGTGCACGGCATCTTGGGAAGTCCTTCTTCCAGAATCTTGGGGAGACGGCGCAGCTGCTGCCCGCTCACAGACAGGGTGCTCAGGCGCTCCAGGATGGCAGTCGTCATGGTAGCGGGCGGCCTCGGACTCCACAGGGCTCCGTAGGAAAACCTGACGGAAAGAAAGGAAGACTGAGAGACAAACGCAGCTAAAGTGGCCAAGGAACTGTATCTTTTCCCAACGGAGCGCGGCCTGCTCAGGTGACACAGGAAGCAAGGAGGTCCAGATGGATTCTCTGGGACTTGTTTTCGCTCTCTGCACCGTGGAGTTGCAGCATCCTCTCGCGCTGAGGCGACATTCCGACTCCTTGATTGTCGTTCACTGCAGTGTGAACACACAGCAGGCGTCTCTAGCCTAACGGCTGACATAATGCGTTACCCTAGCATGACTTAGTGAGAAACGAGAGGTAACGGTCTCTAGAAGGCAAAGGAACTTTTTAAGTTCACTAGTTCCCTAGATATTACTAAAACGTAACCGTCAGATGTTCTTGGATTATTGAATAGGTTTTAGCTGGACAGGGTTCCTGAAACCCCAGTGCCTGTGGTTGAGAACAAGTACAGTCGAGAAACGACATTCCCTGAACAGCACTATTGAATCGCCTTTAGTTGAGGACCTTTGGAGGAAGGGGGCCATTGAGATAAACAAGAATTCAACTTTCTTCAGAAAAAAAGCTTAGATAACAAGACACAGAAAGTACCTGTGTGTTAAAACTTACTTTACTCCGTGATTACATTCCATACCTGTAATCCTAGGCTGTCAGTTGGAGACTAGCCTGAGTTCCACAGTGAGTTCAAGACTACCTTGCTATATATATATATATCAATGATAGATAGATAGATAGATAGATAGATAGATAGATAGATAGATAGATAGATAATGGGGAATTTGAGGCCAGCATGACCTACAAAAGTGAATTCTGGGACAGCCAGGGCTGTTATACAGAGAAACCCTGCCTGGAAAAGCCAAAATAAATTTAATAGATAGATAGATAGATAGATAGATAGATAGATAGATAGATAGATAGATAAATAAGGTGTCTATTTCTTTAACACCCACCTAATCTTAAAACTATTCACTAATCTTACTGGAAACTTAAAACTCTAGGGTAAGTAACTGGCTGAAACTCAACTTAAAGGCAGACGTTTTCTGAGTGTGATCTGGAAAGAACAATGCACACTGTGGGGTGCCTTAGCGGTGTTAAGCCAGTATCGCTTGGGTGTGTCGGGTACCCCATTTGCAAAGCCTTGTCACGTTGTAGGACCATTTCTGTAGTGCAGCCTCTTTGTGGGTCAGTCACTGAAGCCCAGGCGCTCGGATCCCTCTGCTGGCTGATGGTGGGAACACAGCTGAGCTGTTTCTGTTTTTACATGAATGTATTCTGCTAATAATTTTCTTTAGAAACAAAACAAACATTTATTTGGGTTTTGTTAGCGTGCGCGTGTGTGTGTGCGTGTGTGTGTGTGTGTGTGTGTGTGTGTGTACATGCACGTGGGTGCCATGGCACATGTGCAGTGTCAGAGGACAACTTGTGAGTCTTCTCTCCTTCTGCCATGTACGGTCCAGGGATCAAATCCATGTTGTCAGACTTGCAGTCCGGGACCCTTATGCCCTAAACCATCTCAACAGCCCCTCTAGTAATCCTTTTTCTTAGTTCCACACTTACTCTAGCTGATCAACTCTGAAATCCTTAACATTTTACTTTAATGTCTGTGTCAAGCCTTCATTCAACAGAGGAATTAAAAGCATGGACTAAAGTTAAGTAATGTGTAATTTCAAAGAGTGCTCAAGAAAGCAAGTAGCTTGGGATTTGCCTCTCCCAGGTAGCTACATCTGAATGTGATGAATTTCAGGCTTCTGAAATGCTTGCTTTATACTTAGGATTTCTAGGTGGTAGTAAGCCAGTTTTTTCATAAAATCAATGGATTTTCATGTGCACTCACTGAGTAATATACATTTTAACACATAGGCACTTTCTGTGTCTTTGTTGCCTGATTCTGAAGAAAGTTAAATTCTTATTTATCTAAATGGCTTCCTTCCCCCAAAGGTCCTCAATTGAAGAGGATTCAACAAGTGCTGCTCAGGAAATGTAGTCTTTCAACTTCACATTTCTTAATCTCGAAAGGAGAGAGTCTAGTCAGGTTTAAAAAAAGAAGAAAAAGAAGAAAGAAAGAAAGAAAAAAAGAAAGAAAGTAAGAAAAAGAAAAAAAAATGAAAAGAATAGAAATGTAAGAGTTGAGGAAAACCTTGAGCTAAGTTCTGGTTTTGCTGCTTTCTGAACGGCCAGTTAAAACTTTACAGGTTTTAGTCTCTTCGTCTATGAAACAAGAATAATAATTTTACCTGCTGTGTACATTGTTGTGCTGTTTAAGTTGTCTGGTCTGAGAAAATGTTAAGTAGTTCTGAGCTGTACTCCATGTTAGGGAACCAAGTATTAGATAGAATGATCCAAAAGGTAGGCTACTTGCCTTTGTAGAGATTAGTGTCTGAAGTGTTGTGGAGACAGATATGTATTGGGCTTATGACACAAAAGTACAGTCCATGCTCCAGGCGAGGTGTGCAATGACCCACAGGATAAAGCAGGAATGTGGGGTCAGGAGTCTTCAAGTGCTTCACTCAGGACTTGAGGAATTCTGAAAAAACAAACAAAACATAAGGCTTCAGGAAGAGAATAAATAATTTACTTTAAACAATATTTTATTTTATGTGCATGTGTGTTTGTTTTATTGAATGTTTTGCCTGCATGCATGTATGTGTTCCTCATATGTGCCTGGTGCCAGTGTAGTTCAGAAAAGAGTGTGGCTTCCCTAGAACGGGACTTACAGATGGTTGTAGGCCACCTTGTGGGAACTGGGAATTGAACTTGAGTCTTCTACAAGCACAACAAGTGCTCTAAACAATGAGCTATCTCTTCAGCTCCTACTGTTTTTTGAGACAGAGGTCTGCTCTGTAGCCCAAGCTAGCCCTTGAACACATGAAACTCCTACTTCAGTCTCCCAAGTATGGGATTTCACCATGTCTTGCAACTCGAAGAACTGTAGCATGAAGTATTTTATGTACCTGGCTCTTTAAATGGCCCTGTGCCCTTCAGTGCCAGTTGGCTCTTGGACTTCTGGTAATAAAAGAATATAAAAGCTAGCAGAGGCTGAGAGCTGGGGGAAAGAGAGAGAGAGTACTGATAGCAGAGAGAAAGAAGAGACATGAGTAAGCAAGATTAGGTGCTAGGAGACAGAAACCTAGGGTCAAGAAGACAGTTGATATAAAAAGAAAGAAGACGGAGTAGGGCTAGAGAGAAGAAGAAAAGAGATTGAGCATAGTGAACTTAAGAGACAGTTGAAAGCAGACTGAGCTAGCAGAGTGAGAAGAGAAGACAGTTGGTGACAGTTGAGCCAGGAGAAGCTGAGCTGAGCCAACAAAGATATTGTTAGGAAACAGGAGAAGAACCCTCAAACAAAGAAGCCATAAAAAGATAAACTATAGGGACTCTTTTAAAAAGCTACATATTTATTTAAAAGGCTATAAAGAACTTTTGTTTAGTGGCATGAGAGAACTCCTCTGTATGACAGTGGCAGAGACACCTGAGCTCCAGTCCCGAACACTGCTATTCACAAGTCATATGCCTCTAGCCTGCAATCTCTCATCTGTGAAATAGTGATAAAGTATCTCATACACTGAAGGAAGATATACAAGATATGATAAGGTATTTAATAAAATGTTTGTTCTATACCCAAAAGCTCATTTGCCATTATCATTGGCATAACTTATTTGAGACCCAAGAATGGTTTTGAGTACCTTGCTCCTCTATCGTGGCACCTGTCACCCCATGCTGAGACATCTACTTAGCCAACATACCTCACACAGTAGTATCTAGCCAGATACTGACTCTGAACTAAGGCTCAACATAGGAATTGAAAGTACCAAGAGAAGAACAATAAGGATTACAGAATACACCAGAAAGGGAAACACAGAAAAGACAATGTAGAAGAAAGTACTTACCACGATACCTTCATACATCTAAAAATGAAAATAAGTAAAGAGAAAGCCACTTGGTGCCTCCACCATCAGGCCAGAAGAGAGATCACAGTGCCTGGGCTTCCGTTTAAAGCCGGAAGCCTGAAGCGCAACTGTTGGGCTCATCCCAGGGATGAGCCTGGGAGATGGGCTGACTTTACAGCATGTCCCGCTGCTGTTAGTAACAGCTTTTCCTGAGATACTGATTTTTATGGAACTCTGTTTTCATATACAGGTTTTGGTTATCTCTCTTGTAAAGCAGAGAAGAAAATGGGAGGAGGGGGTCTGGAGAGACGGGGAGCATTTAACAGCTTGCTGCTCCCTCAGAGGACCTGAGTTTGGTTCCATGTGCCTACCTCAAGCAGCTCATAACTACCTGTGACACCAGCTCCAGGGATTCTGGCATCCTCCTCTGGCCTCTGTGGCCTCCTGCACACATGCAGCACATAGACAAATACACGTTTGCATAAATACAAATAAATTTTTTGAAGAATGAAATTATTGCCATTCCAGTTTTATAGTTGGGAGACACTGAAGGTATGAAGCTGTATAAAAAGACACTTCCCAGTTGGCTCCATTTGAATACCATCAATGTAAGGGCATTTTCATCGTGTTATCACAATCACACACAGTTCTGTACCCAGATTTAAATAATGCACTACTATACAACTCCACGCTTCTTGTCTTCCTAGCTTTTAGGATAGAATATCTATTCAACGGGTTCCTACGACCCAATGACAACAGAATTTCTAAAGACTTCAGGGTTTGGTTAATGGATGGAATGGAGTATATTTCCGTTCTGGGAACCCATGGTCGTCGGTCTGCTCTGAGGGAATGTAAGTGATGCTGCCCTCTGGCGGGTCTTCAAGTAGGTGTGACTACAGAGCCGTCACACTTCCTCCAGTCCTCCTACTGCTACTGCCCTTCTTGACTTTATGTTGAATTTTTTACTGAGATTGAGTATTTCTGCTTTGCTCTCAGAAAACCAACTAGAAAAAAAGTTTATGAAACTAGGAAGAAGAAAGGAGTATATTAACGTTTTAATTAACTTTTATTTTTTTATTTTAATTACATTTTATTCACTTTGCATCCCAGCTGTAGCCCCCTCCCAATCCCACTCTTCCTCCCTCCCTTATCTCCTCCCATGCCCCTCTCTAAGTCCACTGATAGGGGAGATCCTCCTCCCCTTCCATCTGACCCTAGCTTATCAGGTCTCATCAGGATTGGCTCCAATGTCCTCCTCTGTGGCCTGGCAAGGCTGCTCCTCCCTTGGGGGGAGGGGGTCAAAGAGCCAACCACTAAGTTCATGTCAGAGACAGTCCCTGTTCCCCTTACTAGGGAACCTACTTGGATACTGAGCTGCCATGGGCTACATCCGAGCAGGGGTTCTAGGTTATATCTATGAATGGTCCTTGGTTGGAGAATCAGTCTCAGAAAAGATCGCTCTGCCAAGATATATTTGGTCCTTGTGGAGGAACATTAACTTTAACCTCAAACACACACACACACACACACACACACACACACACACACACACACCAGCACACACAGCAGAATCACCATTTCCTTTGAAAATTAGTTGTTTAAAATGTAGCCACCTCAGTTTTTGAATCTCCTTCATAACCCTCTGTGTTGTGTAACTTGAGAGTGGTTCCTGGTAACTCAGGAACCATCATTACTCCAACTCAGAACATAATTTCTGATCTGGCCCAGCAATGTGGGGGTCACAAAAATCTAGTCTTCTTTCTGAGGATGAGAAAAGCTTACATCTTTCTTTGGGAGCTTGGGTATGAAATTCTAAGCTTATCAGAAAGACAGGGTACTATTTCACTATTCTTTCTTTAGTAATGCCCTCTCCACCTGATGGGAAATTCTCTTCTTAAGACTAGCCAACAAAACCACAATCATAATGGGCACTTAATGCTGTTTTGTTAAAAAACATTGACTCTTCCCTTAGGCCTACAAAAAACACTGATTGCCAGATGAAAGACTGACATTGCTGCCTGCATGTTAGATCGGTTATCTTTACTTTGGGACGGTTTCCTGCCTGAGTGTGTATAAGCAGACTAATTACTCTGCCAAACCTAACCTGTCTCACCTTTCAAGGTTGGGGTGCAGAGGTAAGTCATTATATTAAATCTGCAGTCACCTTAGGTTCCAAGACAAATGGGACTTAACAAATGGGACTTCATGGGACTTAACACCCTCTCACCCCAAAGGAAGTATGCATGATATAACAGACCATTGTATCACATTGAAAACTAGATTGATCCCTCAAGAAACCAGGACTTCTTCAGACCACCTCAAAGACCCAGAACTGAAACTATGGTCTCCCAGACCACACCTAACCCACGACTGCTGGTATATAAATTATGAATACCTCTTGTCTTTCTGCCTCAGTTCTTCCTCTAGTCCACCCAAATCTCACATCAGTGCCTTGAAGACCAACAAGTTTGTCTGTTCCCCTTTCCAGGGTGTTGAGCAAATCCTTTACTCTGCAAATCTACAAAGAGGATAAAGGAAGAATAAGTCCATGTTGCAGCCTCAAAGAGCTTTGGTAGGAGGGACAAAGCTGTCTATACCACAGATACCGAGGGCAGATATTTTGTACCTTAAATTTATTTTAATATAGTTTTTGAATGTTAAAAAAGAACATACTTTTCCCTGTTGTTTCACTCAGGAACCCCTTACAGCCCTCCTTCCAATTCCATTAGGGTGTGTGTGTGTGTGTGTGTGTGTGTGTGTGTGTGTGTGTGTGTATGTGTGTGTGTATAGTACTGGGGAGTAAATCCATGTCCTTACATTTTTTTCGAAAAATGCACCTACAGCCCAAAATTAAACAGATGAAGATTAAAATGAGATTGTAATGAAAAGTTCTGCCAAATACAGTGTACGTACCATGAATCCATTATAAAGCTCCATTCTGAAAGTTTTACACTAAGGAACTCTTTTAAATTGTTTAGAAAAAAAAATGTAAAATGAAGGCAAAACAAAAAGATGAAAGTCGGGTCAATTTAGTATTCATGGAAGTAATGTTACTGTAGTCAGGATTGTGTCTTTAGATGTTTGTCAAAGGATATCACAGACGGGGTGTGGTGACACCCGCCTTTAATTACAGGACTCTTGGAGGCTGAGGAAAGAAGATTGTTGTGAACTTGAAGCAAGCCTGATCTAGATAGTGAATTTCTGGCCAACCACGGCTACATGATGAGACCCTGTCTCAAGCAAACAAAAGAAATCACAGTACTGAACAAAGTATTTGTTAAAAGGATAATTATGCTATTGATGTTTTGTTATTATTATATTTAATATGTATGGGCGTTTTGCACACATATATGTCTGTGCCCTACGTGTGTGCCTAGTGCCCTGGGAGACCAGGAGAGGGCGTTATATCCCTTGAGATGATTGTGAGCTGCCATGCTAAGTGCTGGGATTGAACCTGGGTCCTTTGGAAGTGCAGCCAGTGCTGTTAGCCACTGAGCCGTCTTTCTAGCCCCCAAATTTAAGGCTTGGTTTTATTTATCTGGTTTAGACTGATGAAAAAACATGTACAATACCATTTCCTTTCTAGTAAGAACGAAACGATGAGTTTCCATTGATTGCTGTAATCCCCTGAAAACAG